AAAGTATTTGCTCACCCATCCAAATGATCAGAATCAGAGTCAGAGATTCTTTATTGTCATTCGCACCTCATGTGGTACATGTGGTGGAGCGAAATTATGTACACAGGGTCCCAGTTACATCCAACAATAAAATGTATAAGAAAAACAGTAATAACATCTAAGATATGAACTAAGAAAAACATCAACTAAATATACACTAAGCACTCATAACATAAAAACATTGAACATCAGCACAAACATGAACATGAGTCTGTGTGAGAGGATGTGCACGCATGAACACATCAACATTGAAACAGATCAGCAGCAACATGAAACAGATCAGCAGCAACATGATATGGTTTTTCACAGTGATTATTCTGGTTAGAGATTCATGAGTCTAACAGCCTCAGGGTAGAAGCTGTTCCTCAGTCTAGTGGTTCTACACTTAATGCTCCTCAACCTCCTTCCTGAGGGGAGTGGGGCAAAAAGTTTGTGCTGGGTGAGTGGGGTCCTTCATGATGCAGGTGGCCCTCTTCCTGCATCTGGAGGTGTAGATGTCTGTGATGGTGGGGAGGCTGATTCCAACAGACTTCTGTGCAGCCTTCACCACTCTCTGCAAAGCTTTTCTTTCTGCAGCTGTGCAGCCTCCATGCCACACATTGATGCTGGAGCACAGGATGCTCTCCACTGCACACCTGTAGAAGGAGGTGAGGACTGAGCTTCCCAGACCAGCTCGTCTCAGCCGTCTGAGGAAGTAGAGTCTCTGATGAGCTTTCTTGATCAGGCTGGTGGTGTTGTTGCTCCAGCTGAGGTTGTCATTCATGTGTACACCCAAGTACTTGTAGCTGGAGACCACTTCCACCGCAGATCCTCTTATGTTCAGGGGGATGTAGATGTTTTTTTTTCAGAGTCAGGTGTTCCAATCACTTCCATGGCCACAGGTGTATAAAATGAAGCACCTAGGCATGCAGACTGTTTTTGCAAACATTTGTGAAAGAATGGGTCGCTCTCGGGAGCTCAGTGAATTTCAGCATGGAACTGATCGATGCCACCTATGCAACAAATTCAATCATGAAATTTCCTTGCTCCTAAATATTCCACAGTTAACTGTCAGCTGTATTATAAGAAAATGGAAGTGTTTGGGCATAACAGCCACTTGGCCACGAAGTGGTAGGCCACGTAAACTGACAGAGCAGGGTCAGCGGATGCTGAAGCACATTGTGCGAAGAGGTTGCCAACTTTCTGATGAGTCAGTCACTACAGACCTCCAAACTTCATGTGGCCTTCAGTTTAGCTCAGGAACAGTTCATAGAGAGCTTCATGGAATGGGTTTCCATGGTCGAGCAGCTGCATCCAAGCCATACATCACCAAGTGCAATGCAAAGCGTCGAATGCAGTGGTGTAAAGCATGCTGCCAATGGACTCTAGAGCAGTGGAGGCACGTTCTCTGGAGTGACGAATCGTGCTTCTCCATCTGGCAATCTGATGGACGAGTCTGAGTTTGGCAGTTGCCAGGAGAACAGTACTTGTCTGACTGCATTGTACCAAGTGTAAAGTTTGGTGGAGGGGGGATTAAGGTGTGGGGTTGTTTTTCAGGAGCTGGGCTTGGCCCCTTAGTTCCAGTAAAAGGAACTCTGACTGCTTCAGCATACCAAGACGTTTTGGACAATTCCATGCTCCCAACTTTGTGAGAACAGTTTGGAGCTGGCCCCTTCCTCTTCCAACGTGACTGTGCACAAAGCAAGGTCCATAAAGACATGGATGGAAGAGTCTGGTGTGGATGAACTTGACTGGCCTACACAGAGTCCTGACCTCAAGCCGATAGAATACATTTGGGATGAATTAAAGCAGAGACTGAGAGCTAGGCCTTCTCGGCTAACATCAGTATGTGACCTCACAAATGCGCTTCTGGAAGAATCGTCAAAAATCCCCATAAATACACGCCTAAACCTTGTGGACAGCTTTCCCAGATTGTTGAAGCTGTTCTAGCTTCAAAGGGTGGACTAACGTCATATTGAAACCTATGGATTAGGAATGGGATGTCAGTGTGAGTCAAGGCAGGTGAGCAAATACTTTTGGCAATGTAGTGTATCTTAGATCCTTTATATGCTGTTACTTTTTACACTTTATATTTGCGCTATTGTTGGGTGTAACTGGGACCCTGTGTACATAATTTCATTACACTTCATGTACCACATTTCATGTGAATGACTATAAACTTGACTTGAACTCCAGTTAGAAGCTGAGCACCAGTGTTCTGGATCAACTAAAGACGTCTGAGGGAGGACTGGCTGACTCAGAGGTAAAGAGCATTACAGTAATCCAGTCGACGTGATGAAGGCATTGATTACTCTACCTTCTCAATAACAGGCGGTAGGTGGCGATTTCGCCACTTCCTCAAGTGTCTGACGCCGTCTATTCTGACTGACAACTTTTTCCCCCCATTGGAGCAAATCGATGCATTGGCATGCAATAGTCACATGGCCGATTTCAATCGCTCTAGCAGGAAAGACAATAAGTCTCAGAAGTACAGACTTCAAACTGCACACCAGTTTTTATTAGTGTTGATAGGCCACGTGAAATCAGAGTTATGATCAATAATCCACGCCACATCTTCTTCTGAAATCCATCATCATATCTGAAGCATGTTAGAGCGAGAGGCTGCAGCAAAGACAGGCAGACTCGGGGACAAAACACCCCCATCACCCTCCACTTTCACCTCCCACCCCCGCTGAGCAGAACCCCCCCTCCCGTTTTCTGACAGAGGCTCCAAGTTATTTGTCAAGTGCCAAAAAATCTACAGGAAGAAGAAGAAAAAAGATATGGAAATTGAATGGGATTCAGCCAGCAATAAAGTCACAGCGTGAGCAGGAGTGAGCCGTGAGGTTTGAGAGATTTGTGATATTTAGCGTGTTTGGGTTTTATAGTTGAGGTGTAGTTTAGTGTGTTTAGTTTAGTCAGTTTTTGTGTATTTGAGTCAAAACAACCAGACGATTTTTGAACGCGAGGAGGACTGAACCGCAGAGTCAGAACTTCTCAGACAGAGGAGAGGATCATGAAGGAGAAAAACAGTCCGAGAAAGACTTTGTTGATGAAGAGGGTGATCATGATTTGTTTTAGAAGAGGAAGAGAGCACCTAGCCCCACAAGGAGGTCTGACTCTGCAGAGGAGGGGGTCCAGAACCCCTCTAACTGGGCCAACAGAACCAAGCATCAGTTCTGAGCTCTGGAGAACAGAGGTAGATGTGGTTGTTGACCCAGAGGGCGGACTAATGGAGGAAAATACAATTTTTAAAATTACTGTAAAATAAATAATTTGTGTCAATTAAAAAAACTGTATTGTAGAGTTTTAAACAAAAAACATTAAAGCTTTAAAAAAAATAATAATAATTTAGATATTTTTATTTCAGGCTGAGACGGCTCTAAAAGACTGACTGATTTTTTTGTGTTAAAAATATTTAAAACTAGTATTTTGAAGCAGTTAAATAATGTGGTTGATTTTACCCCTGAGGAACATGAATAGTCATCAAGTTAAAGCGTTAAAACCGTCGTATTCAGATGTTCAAAATATGATGCTTTTGATGTCGATCAGATTTCATGATCTTGTCTGTAGTTACAGAAAGCAAAGAAGTTTGAGTTGCATGCATTCAGCAAGGACTGCTGCAAGATAAAGAATAAAGATAAATTCATTGTGAAATAATTCTTAATTATATTCTTGAAAATGTATGTTATCTCACTGTACAAACTGATTGACAGCTGCTGTGGATTATGACTTCATAACTCTTCTCATGTCTGTGATGCTGGTAAGACATTTTCATCAGTGATCAGAATTTAAACAGTCTGTGTTCACCAGCATTTTCACCAAACAGAACATCAACATCATGTGTTGATGTTGGAAATGGCTCCAGCCTTCTACTCTGAGCCATTAAACTCCTACTCAAAAAGTTGTTGAAAAGGCTGATGAATGTTTCAAGCTGAGGATCGACTTTATCTTAGCCAGCTGCCTAAGGTGACAAAAACTGGCCGTGACCAGTTTCTCAATATCCTTGACCAGGGGAGGCAGAGGAGTAGTGAGCATCCGAACCACTATACAGGATGAAACAACTAAGATCCTGCATTACATCGGGATGAACTGATGATTGAGTGTCTCAGGCAGCAGCAGAAACCCAATGTGGAAGAGGAGAAACAAGAAGAGCCATCATGAAACAATAAGCCCCTGTATGACATTCACTATTGGCAGATTTATGAAGTGACTAATAGCAACAAATCCTACTAGAGGCCAGAGTCTACCATACCAGACAAGAACAAAGATGCAAGCTATCCAAAGATGGCCCTGAAACAGTCCAACACATAATAGATAGATAGATAGATCTGAAGCTCTCGATCTTGACCTCTCTAAGTGGCTTTAAGAATCTGTTGGACTCCTGGCAGGGACCAATGCAGACATGTTCCTGTTTTTAGTTTTCTACATTCGCCTTAGAATCTAGCTGATTTTTTGTTACTTAAAAAAAAAAAAAAAAGAATTTAGCCATCCCATTTGTAAAAAAAAATAAAAAAATTTGTATGATATTTTATAACTGTTTATTGTTGTCGCTGTTGTCCATTCTTGTCATCATTCTTTGTTGAAATCAGGTCTCTCTTGTAAATGAGTCCTTGAGGCTCAATGGGATTTACCTGTCTAAATAAAGGTCGAATGAATGAAAAATAGAAACGTAAAATCCATTCAGGCAAACTATATATGGAACACCATAACCAAGTGGCTAGAATAAAGTACAGGAACATCTAGAATAGTGGTGCATTGGAACATGTGTTGAAAATGAACTGGAGGTTCCACAGTCAAAATGGAAGACTACACCAAGGGTGGTGGGAGAATGGCAAGGCAAACATAACAGAGCTTTAGGTTTGGGTCTAGACCTTGATTTTCCCCCTCTGGTTCTGACCTGCAGCCATGTGATTAAACATAAAACAGCTGTCAGGTGTCCTGTTGAGAATGATGATAAAGTTCCTTTTTTCATCTTTCAGGCTCTGTGCATGCCGACCTTCCAACTGTTGGAGCAACCAAACAGTCTGAGGAACCACCCTGACACTGTGGATGACCTGTTCAGACTGGCCACAAGGTGAGTGTTCTGAAGCCTCATACATACCCATATCCATAACATTATGACCACCTGTTAGAATGGTATCGCTGTAAAATCCAAAAAATAGTATCGCTCTCACAGTAAATTTTGAATAACAGATGACATTTCCTGCCCTTTGGTGTATTTTAACGGGTTGTTATACATCAACATTTACCTACATTTGTAGACAATAAAATTACTATTTTGGAGAGCAACAGCATGTTGTGTGTGAATAGAGCACCTCCGATTCTGTCAGGTGTTCTGATGTTGTGTGCGTGCTGTGTAGAGCTGTCTGGAGACGCTGTGCATAACATGCACTGTCCACAGGGCATTTGATTATTCTGTTGAATAAATGATTGTTTCTGTTTTGGGGATCTGAGAGGAGGGGAGAAGGGGTGTTTTTCAGTGTGCAACCCCGCTGAGTAGGGACAGTATTTGGAGTGGAGGAGGAGAGAAGGACTCTGCGCAGAACCTTTGTGCGTAAATGTGACCATCTGGAGCTTGTGAGCAAGCTGGTTCGCCGCACGTGCTGCAGCTGGAACATCCCTTCCACAGACTGGGTCCGCCGGGCTAAGTGCAACATCTCCTCTTGTTGTATTTTTAATAAATAAACAAAATAAAAATGCGCAATGACTGGACTTTTCGGGGCGGAGTTGCCGGATCCGAACAAAGAGTTGCCAGGCCACAACAGGTCAAAATGAGAGGGTTCCCAGATCTTGTTCCGGCAGGATCCAGCTCAAATTAACTACTGGTTCTGACTAGGGATGGGGCCGATCTTGTATCGGTATCAGCCTCCGATACCAGCATAATTTACCCATCTGATTTTTCCGATCCAACCTGCAGAGATTTCCGATCCACGATACATGTCTGTGTCTGCTGAAACTTCTCCACATGTGATTCTCTGCCGGCTGCTCTTCAAGTTGGCTTCAAACTATGGAATGGATTTCCTGAACGGAGGCGGATCTCATGAAACCCAGAGTAATAAGACCCGCCTCACATTCAGGAAATCCATTTCATAGTTTACAGCCAGCTAAAATGTGAGTAAATACATGAAGACTGAGCAGCAACACTCTGGCTAACGGCTAACCAACTTTTCATAATAACATGTCCGCTGTGTGGAAGTATTTTACACTAAACACCGCAAGACGGCAATGTGCAATGTCTGCAGAGTCGCTGTACCGAGAAGAGAAAGCTCTGTCACAACCTACAATACAACAAACTTAATCAAACATTTGAAAAAGCACAAGGATTGTTTAGCCAGACACCGCAGTAAAGTTAGTTTTACGATGGAACTCCGTGGCTTCAGTGGTGTGTTCCTCTCGTTCAGTCCGAAGCAGGCAGTCAGATTTTGGTCAGCCGCACCCAGTCTGCCCCGTCTTGGAGGAGGGGCAGACTGAGCATGGCTGACTAAAATCAGACTGCCTGCTTCACAGCTTGATTGATGGTTTGCAACCAATATAGAGTTTACGTTTACGCTCCAGGAGATATTTATCAGTACAACAGTAGACATAATAAAAAAAACAACATGAATTAAAAAATAAAAGAAAATTATATATAAATAAAAGAAAAGAAACAAAAACAGCTACATTATAAAGCGATGTAAAATACTGAAAACAGGAACATGTCTTTGTTGGTTTTTGCCATACAAGGATTCGGGTACTGAAATGGCCAGCGTGCAGTCCAGATCTTTCACCTATAGAGAACATTTGGCGCATCATAAAGACGAAGGTGCGACAAAGAAGGCCCAAAACGATTGAACAGTTAGAGGCCTGTATTAGACATGAATGGGAGAGCATTCCTATTTCTAAACTTGAGAAACTGGTCTCCTCTGTCCCCAGACGTCTGTTGAGTGTTGTAAGAAGGGGGGATGCCACACAGTGGTAAAAATGGACTTGTCCCATCTTTTTTGGGATTTGTTGACGCCATGAAATTTGGAAACAACAGATTTTTCCCTTAAAATGATACATTCTCTCAGTTTAAACTTTTGATCTGTGATTTGTGTTCTATTCTGAATAAAATATTAGATGTTGGCACCTCCACATCATTGCATTCAGTTTTTATTCACAATTTGTTTAGTGTCCCAACTTTTTTGGAATCCGGTTTGTGTATGTATGTATATATATATATATATATATATATATATATACAGTGCCTTGCGAAAGTATTCGGCCCCTTTGAACTTTTCACCCTTTTGCCACATTTCAGGCTTCAAACATAAAGATATAAAATTTAAAAATTTTTGTGAAGAATCAACAAGTGTGACACAATCGTGAAGTGGAATGAAATTTATTGGATGTGTCAAACTTTTTTAACAAATAAAAAACTGAAAAGTGGGGCGTGCAATATTATTCGGCCCCTTTACTTTCAGTGCAGCAAACTCACTCCAGAAGTTCAGTGAGGATCTATGAATGATCCAACGTTGTCCCAAATGACTGATGATGATAAATAGAATCCACCTGTGTGTAATCAAGTCTCTGTATAAATGCACCTGCTCTGTGATAGTCTCAGGGTTCTGTTCAAAACTCGAGAGCATCATGAAGACCAAGGAACACACCAGGCAGGTCTGAGATACTGTTGTGGAGAAGTTTAAAGCCGGATTTGGATACAAAAAGATTTCCCAAGCTTTAAACATCCCAAGGAGCACTGTGCAAGCAATCATCTTGAAATGGAAGGAGTATCAGACCACTGCAAATCTACCAAGACCCGGCCGTCCCTCTAAACTTTCATCTGGAACAAGGAGAAGACTGATCAGAGATGCAGCCAAGAGGCCCATGATCACTCTGGATGAACTGCAGAGATCTACAGCTAAGGTGGGAGAGTTTGTCCATAGGACAACAATCAGTCGTACACTGCACAAATCTGGCCTTTATGGAAGAGTGGCAAGAAGAAAGCCATTTCTCAAAGATCCATAAAAGTGTTGTTTAAAGTTTGACACAAGCACCTGGGAGACACACCAAACATGTGGAAGAAGGTGCTCTGGTCAGATGAAACCAAAATCCAACTGTTTGGCCACAATGCAAAACGATATGTTTGGCATAAAAGCAACACAGCTCATCACCCTGAACACACCATCCCCACTGTCAAACATGGTGGTGGCAGCATCATGGTTTGGGCCTGCTTTTTGTCAGCAGGGACAGGGAAGATGGTCAGAATTGATGGGAAGATGGATGGGACCAAATACAGGACCATTCTGGAAGAAAACCAGTTTGAGTCTGCAAGAGACCTGAGACTGGGACGGAGATTTATCTTCCAACAAGACAATGATCCAAAACATAAAGCCAAATCTACAATGGAGTGGTTCACAAATAAACGTATCCAAGTGTTGGAATGGCCAAGTCCAAGTCCAGACCTGAATCAAATCGAGAATCTGTGGAAAGAGCTGAAGACTGCTGTTCACAAACACTCTCCATCCAACCTCACTGAGCTCGAGCTGTTTTGCAAAGAAGAATGGGCAGAACTTCAGTGTCTCCATGTGCAAAACTGACAGAGACAAACCCCAAGAGACTTGCAGCTGGAACTGCAGCAAAAGGCGGCGCTACAAAGTATTAACGCAAGGGGTCGAATAATATTGCATGCCCACTTTTCAGTTTTTTATTTGTTAAAAAAGTTTGACACATCCAATAAATTTCATTCCACTTCACGATTGTGTCCCACTTGTTGTTGATTCTTCACAAAACAATAAAATTTTATATCTTTATGTTTGAAGCCTGAAATGTGGCAAAAGGTTGAAAAGTTCAAGGGGGCCGAATACTTTCGCAAGGCACTGTATATATATATATATATATATATATATGTGTGTGTATATATGTGCATGTATGTATGTATATATATATATATATATATATATATATATATATATATATATATATAGATATGTATATATATAGATATGTGCATAGGCCTGTCACGATAACAAATTTTGCTAGGCGATTAATTGTCTCGAAAATTATTGCGCTAAACGATAATGTTATTAGAAATTGATCAATAATTAGTAATTATTGTCAAATTTAAGAAGAAATGTTCATTGGTTTTGCATGTAGTACCTTTTTTCAACCAACGGATGGCAATATAAGACTGAACGGAAGGATTGATAGCAAATGGACTGTACTTATATAGCGCCTTTCTATCTTATCAAGACATTCAAAGCACTTTACATTACAATCTGTGCCTCATTTCTCATTTACCCATTCATACAGCACTCTACTAGATCTATACAAAGCTAATTGAACAAATTGTTCTAAAGAGACCAATCAGAGCTTTATCACATTCATAAATTGATGGGACACACATCGGCGACAATGAGTGGTTCACTGTCTTGCCCAGGGACACTTCGGCATGTCACTTCTAGTGGATTCGAACACCCATCTCTTGCATTGGAGGACGACTGCTCTAACCACTCAGCCACAGCTGCCCAAAGTAAGGGAGCAAGCAAGAAAAATGGTAGCGAGGCCCTTTGACGTGACATGGGCTGTCTCTTTTCGGTTCTCAAAATGGCGGATGCTCTGTGTGGTTTGAGCTCTTTAGCATATAATTTTTCACACAAAGCTTTTAATTAAAAAAAAAAAATTGGTAAACAAGTTTTCAGCTTCTTTTTGCAGCAAAAAACAACTTTTTACATGAAGGCACGGGTTTCAACCTTGAATTTTGGAGCTTTGACAAGACAGAGGTTTTTCCCTGAGGACGGCCTGTTAGCTTAGCTCGTAGCTTAGCTACACAACTTAGCTGATTAACGATTCAAAACCGCAATTTTGTATGGTTAAAATGGATTTTAAAGAGAAAAGGAGGGGTCAGTGAAGAGCGCCAGAGTTGAGCCTTTTTCATCCAGTGTCTTCAGTAGAAAGAGACACGAAAAAACGACAAAACCAATAAATGAAAATGAGGTCGATAATTTTCATTCATGCGATTAATTGATTTATTGTTTATTGTGACAGGCCTATGTGCGAATGCTTTTTGTAGTGCTTTCAACATCATCCTCCTCAACAAACTGGGTAAACTGGGAC